AGGCGGAGACACAATGAGGTACATGTCTCCTCTCTCATAACTTTTATCATTAAAAGAAAGTCCATTTTGACTCCTCATTTCGTCATGTAACTAAAATAGAATTTAGTGCTACATGATATTATTATCTTCTATTTCTGTCAATATTTTTAATAGTAAAGGCCTGATATGCCATCAATGTTTTCAAAAATCGCCTCAAATATCAAAGTACCATAAAATACCACAGAATTGGATTATATAAGTTTTTTGATAATTAATTTTAAAATTTTAATTAAGCGAAGCTTTTTACATAGCAGAAAATTCAGAGAAAAAAAAAATCTAAGTACATACATCAGAATGAATTACACTATGAAGAAGAGATTTACTAGTCATGTAAGCAGTGACAAGTAGGGAGAAGTATAAAGAGTGTAGAGAGTGCTGAGTAAGAAGCAAAAACCTGAGGGAGAAGATCAGATAGTACATAGTGTGGAGCGAAGAGTAAAGTGGGGAGAGAATAGAGCAAAGAATATAGAGCTAAGGATCCTAGAGTATGGTGAAATCTCTTGAAATCAACCATCTCCAGTCTGTTATGAATATCCCTATAACTGGCGACTTTCACCTAATTCATTTTTCAATTATGAAGTTAATAAGATCTGATAATGACAAGTAACTCTGCCTACAGTCAGTTGTCAGAAGTATTTGTGAAACATGTCTTGCCTTGGTCAGCTACTGCATCAAAAATACCAGATCGCTAAGTTGACCTTGTGACAGAGAAAGTAAATAGTATTACGAAGCTACCCACAAAGCTGCTCAGGATCATAATATGAAATCCATATATCCTGCTCCTCAATTGTCTTTTTAAATCATAGTTTACCAGTCTGGATGTGCAAATCCTCTGGTATCAAAAAAAAGGCGAATACATAAAACTTGGGGAAAAGAGATGACCATGGTTGAAAAGGAAATGATAATTGCCTTTTTCTACTACCTCCGCAATATTGCCCTTATTGCTCAAGTTATTGGTTGGCCCTGGACAACAATTAAAAGCTTTCTTACCCATGCATGGGAGTGCCAATCTCTAAATAATCTTCCACACCCTCATCGCACCCCTGTTCTCAGCTATCAGTATTGTTATACAATTGTCCGAGCAGCTTAAAATAACCGGGAAATGACCTGATCTGCCTTCATGGATAAATATGCGCCAAGTATTTCTCTTTCTACTAGTAATTCCCCCTGGTACTAGTACTACTATGAGTAATAGACTATGATTGGCTAACCAATATCAATACAATAGTAGATAGAGTACTCAGAGAGGCCAATATCAAGAAATTGCTTGCCGAATCAAGACCTAGGCTCAAAGCTGAGCATGTGGCTAAGAGATAAAGATGGGCTATAATTTATAAGGATTGGATAGTGGAGGATTTTAAAACAGTAATTTAGATTAATAAGTGTAGTATGGAGAAATCAAAGATTTTAAGGTAGCAATGGGTATTCAGAAAACCTGGAAAGAAGTGGCTAGCTGATTGTATTTATCTAAAGGAGAAGGATAAGAGACTTTCACTTATGGTTTAAGAGTGCTTTTGAAATAAGAGAAAAGGTTCTTTGGTTTCTATTACTCAAAATATGAATAAGACCAGGTATATTAGGCTTTTAAGCAGGCATCTTTCTCCTGTTATTTATCAAATGATCTCTTTTACATGCAAGATATTCTGTTTTAGCCGGACAATTCTCCTGTTCATAAGGCTTTTCATATTATGGATTAGTTGGAGAGAAACTCTATTGAGGTAGAGGAGCATCCCTTTTGTTCCCCTGATTTAAATCCTATTGAGCATACATGGGTTGTGCTTAAAAAGCGCTTGCACTTATAGTATCCCAGGATTGCTGATACCCCAGGAGGAAAGGAAGCTGTTAAGCAGAGGTTGGCACATGTATTATCATTATTTTGTGAAACAATTTCTCAGGAGTTTTATGAGAAGTTGTGGAAATCAATGCCTAATAGGGAAGCTGCAGTTCTGGAAGTAAGGGGAGGTTATACAATGTACTAGATATTGTTATTTCAATTTCAGTTATTAAATTTTAATTTAATTACCATCAGTGGTGTAGTATTGATCGTTCACTAGTTCAATGGTTCACTTGTTTGTTTGTTTACTTGTTTGTTCATTCAATTGTTTGTTTGTTTACTTGTTTGTTTGTTTACTTGTTTGATTGTTTACTTGTTTGATTGTTTACTTGTTTGTATGTTTACTTATTTGTTTGTTCACTCGTTTATCCGCGCACGCGAATACTGGTAACACAATCCCCCTACCTTTACACCCGACTATGGTACCCTATGCCTCAACAACTAATTAAACATGTCTCAGATCACAAACACATTGTATAACTGATTTTATACTGTATTAGGAAAACACAAATTCTTTTTATGAAGTTTTAACTGAGAATGCAAAGTGTAGGGAGCTATCAAAGCTGGTTAGTTGCAAGAGATTTTATAGTAGGAGGAAGAGTATGTAGGAAAGAGAGAGGTAGATTGGCAGAAGAGGGGAAGTAGCGGAAGGTGAGAAAGGGTAGGGGTGAAAACCAAGTTAAGTTAGAGAGAGAAAAAAATAGTAAAGTAAATTTTTTTTTTTTGTTAAATCTTAGAATCTATTTACTTAAAAGTACAAACCTCCACTATAAGAGCACAGTCTGGCCAAAGCATGGATCCTAAATAAAAGGGCACCTCTGCAATAACCACTCCACAGCAACAATTTAATCCTAATATATGGTGGTCAAAAACCTCCTCTACAGGCTTAGGGGAAAACAAGCTAGCCCAAGTCCCTCTGGTATAGGACTAACTGCAAGTCCACCCCCATGAAGAACTCCTTTTATACTAGACAAAAAAAGCACAACCCAGGACTAGCAGGAGGTAACAGAAAAACCCGTACCATATTCTCTTGAGAAAGGAAACACAATGGAAATCCAACAAAGGAAACCACTCTGATAAAACAAATTCCCTAGTTTTCAAATGGTCCAGCCTTGGCAAGCAGCTGGGAATACATGGAAGAACCATGATACATTCATTTTGTGTGATGAAGGTTACAGACATGATCATGCCGGGTTCCATTAGAGTGATCATTTAAGGCTGGTTGGATGGGTGGATGACCAGAGGCAGTGCAGTACCAACCATGCATTGCTGAGTATTCCAGACATTAGTTTAATGTAAACCCGACTGAGTAAAAGAACCCAGAAAGATGGGGGGGGATTCGCAACCTCATACAGCTTAGCCGAGGGGGCTACCATGGAGGCACGTGGAGGGCAGTAAACCACAGTCTGGCAGAGGGATAGAGTTCAATACCAGAGAGGACGAAAGTCTCAATTCATCCTACAATGAAGTTTGGTTTCCACTACTATGAAGCTTCAAATGTTTGGTACAGCAGAGGAAATCGTGAGGTGGTAGGTCGTAGTGTTAACACCTACAACTGTGTTTCAAAACAGCAATGTGAAAAGTAGAGCCAGGAAAATGATGGAAGAGAAGCTTGAACAATGGTGAGGTAGAAAATACCTCTTCCTGTATAACAGGAATTCTCCTTTACCAGTGCCAAGATTTAGTAAATAATTTATATTGAGAAACCTAATTTGTATTTAATTTACATAGAAGCAAAACTTAGGTAATATATTCCTGTCACATCTGAGGGTACTGTGGCATTTGAGGGGATTTTTGAAAACATTAATGGCATATGAGACTAGTACTGTACCGTAATATTATTCTCCACTGTCATGGAAAATCACTCGAATTTTATAATATTCGCTGAAGTCCGCCACCTCCCGTCACCACGCCACACCCTATTCCCCACACAGCACTAGCGCTTAGCGCGATTTCGGGTTTACCCAAACTATGGTCCACGAGTAGTCAGGGTGTGAGCTCAGGTCGTCGAAAAATTGGCTCCTTGGTCGGAATTGCCATGTGTGTTGACTTGCTGATTTTCCGTCCCTGCTCGGTGAATCTACGCTAAACTTTGGTAGAGGAAAATGTCTAAATTATCAAACTCTCGCCCAGTGGCCAGAGAGATTTCCATTTTCCGAGTGGTCTGGAGGCCACTAGCCCAACCAGCGGGGTTCGACACACTTGTTCTGGATACTCTGGATTTATTATGAGTGTGCCGCCTACTCCGTACTCCGTAGAAAGAAGGGTAAATTAAGAGAGTGATACCAACACCCTACCCATCTGCTATCATACTTGTCCATAGCGGGGATTGTTCCTTTTAGGTAGTATCAGAGTTACTATTGTATCATTTCATACCATGGCGCCTTCAAGCCTAAGTTATGCCGCTAAAAGAAATAAAAAAAATACTTCATCCTGCCCCTACGAATAATTTAACGGGCGTACCATACCGCAGTTAGTCTCAATGTGGGGAGATTCGAGGATTGAGGAGCAAGATTTAGAATCGTAGGTATTCTGCAAGCATCACCGCCCTTTTTCATGGTTTGAGTGTTGTAACAGGGTACTGGTATTCTGCTTCATCTAGACATCATGGTCAAGGAAACTTACTCCCCCCAATAGCCTAGTGCTCTCCGTCCGCATTTATCTACTTACCTCCTCGTCCACCGCGGCCCCCTCCAACCGCCCCCGTTCACCCTCCTCCTATCGTATCATTGACTTCCCTTTCCCTTCCCCCCCCAACTACTGGCATCCATCACCGACACTATTCCAATACTCGAACCCCAACCAATTCTCTGAGCTTTCAAAAGAAACTTCCGCGTTGTGAACCACCCCGCTCTATACTGGAGACGGTTACAGCAGAGGTTCAGCACGTCCGCCACGGAACAGTGCCATCTACTATTATAGTCAGCAACTTCTTTACAGGCATCAGGAGTTCTCTGTGCTCTCGGGACTTTCCCTTGCGGCTCTACTACCCATTTTTCCCTCCCGTGTCGGCCTTCTTCCATTTCGCACCTCAACACCTCAACACTTCAGCGCCCCAGACTGCTCTGCCTGTCTGGGGTATTCTCGGATTCACTGTGTTTTGGATACTGGGTGTTGGGGCGAAATATAGGCCTGGATGGAGGGAAATGTCTCTGGTGGGGGTGGTGCTGGTGGTGGCCCGGCTTCGAGCAGTAGTAGCGACTTTGTATGTTGCCTCATGGTGTCTGTGTTCCTGGAGGCGAGCTCTAATGGTTATTTCGTTATGCGTTCTCTAGGTCCGAAAACTCTATAAGTATGTGCTAATCCTGCGATTGCGGAAATATATGGAGTGTAATAACTTTATAAACTATAGAATGTTGGAAGACCCTACGCATCGGCAGACGGTTCGATGGAGCGATGCTGGTGATAGTTTTATAGTTGTAGATGTATGAGACCACTTGCCCTACCCCGCAAAGGAATCCCCTTTCGATCCCTCATGATTAACTGGATGGGTAGACCAACGAGTTCACCAGAAACATACTACCGAATCATTTCAAGCACAGCAATTTTGCGAGTTTTGTCAGACAGCTAAATAAGTGCGCTCCTTAAATTTAAGGCCGGACCTCTCTTCCCAACTAATGTCACGATAGGTATGATTTTCACAAGATTCGGAGCAATGAGGAAAGTGGAGGCAATTCTTATGGGCACCAGGTTCTGTCTCACGCAATTCCAATGCAAGATGAGCGCGTTCTAACCGGGATGGGGTATCAAGACATGGGAATTTAAACATCCAGATTTTCAATTGAACAACATAGACAACCTTGATAACATCAAAAGGAAGGCACCTGCCCCACGGAAACAAGTACAGCAGAGCGAGGACGGCGGTGTGCAACAGATAGAGGAATTAAACAGCCAAGTACAGGATCTATCAAAAGTCAACCAGGAGATGACCAACCAAGTTCAACGCTTAGCCAGCGACAATCATGCTGTTATTCAGGAATTGAATACAATGCAGCATGTGCTTCAACAGCATGAGGAACGGGTTAGGGTACAAGAGAAGGTGATAAATAACATCATGGTGTATCTACAGAAGCTGGACGATGAGATAAAGGAGATGAGACCAGTTGGCGGTATTCCTTCTCAACAACTACACGATAATGAGGGGAGGCCTTCGGCTCCTGTCTCTCCAGAGAACTCTGTCACTGGACCAGCTGCGAGTGCCCCAGGTTCTCGAGAGCATCTATCAACCCCTCTACAACGGGCTCAGATGCTTCTTGATAACCATCCCGATATCCTAGATGCCAACCCTACTATGGGGCGATTTAGAGGCCTTTCTCAATCGGGGCCTTCTGACTACAACGAATTTGGAGCTGTGAACCGCCTCTCACAGAATGGCCAACGACAGGCAGCACTGTCCAACGGCGTATCTACCATTCCAGAGGATGGAGGTGCCACATTTGCAATCGGCCCGGGAACCACAATGGTAGAGCCTTTCTCTAACGGGAATCTTGGATATTCCATTCAGCCTCCACAACATGAGAATGCAAACCTAGGCATACGCGGAAGGCCAGCTCCTAGCCGGAAACGAAGTACCCCATTCGTTCCTCCAAATTGGCAAACCCCGCCCAGAGTGTTACTCGTTGAGGATGATCCAACTTGTGCGCGAATTGGATCTAAATTTCTTCAGACAGCGGAGTGCAGCGTTGACATGGCAGTGAGATCCCCCCTCCTATATTCTAGACGGGCTTGAGTAACAGTTGAATCGTGCTGTGCAATACTTTCATTCTGCGGCCTTCCCCCCATGAATCGCCCCCTTGTTACTTTGTTTTTCTGTCCTCACTGGATGAGCACTTACCTGCGTTTATGGCCTCTCTATGTCCTTAACGATGGCTAACCTTTTTGTTAGAGCAATGGATTAATAGCTGTCAATAAGCTCAATAGTGGGAAATATGACCTTGTTCTCATGGATATAGTTATGCCGCAGCTCGATGGTGTCTCGGCAGCCTCCCTGGTCAGACAGTTTGACAGCACGACCCCGATTATAGCAATGACATCAAATATTCGCCGAGACGATATTAATATGTATTTCAATCATGGTGAGACATTTTACCTATGCAAGTCGGTAGCAGGGTTAAATCGAATACCTTTTAGGGATGAACGATGTATTACCTAAACCCTTCACCAAAGAAGGGCTTCTCAACATGCTCGAAAAATACCTCTCGCACCTCAAGGCCAACGAAGGGCAAATACCTACACAATTGAATTTTAATGAGCACGACAATAGGATTATTGTGGAACAAGGCAATATTATGGCCAAAAGCGGACTTAAATATTCCCAGTCGCCTTCAAAGTCACCCCAGAACGCGGTATTGTATGGGCGCCCGCCTTCTGATGCAGTCGAGGATCCGATCGGAGAAACACCCTCAGTTGTTGAAGATACCGCTTATGCGAATCTCATACCGGGTTACTTGGGTGACAGTACTGCACCTCGCACAACCGGCACCTTTCCCTCTCCTGGGGCCCTCGCTCATGGAATCCGACGAGGTGCTTCAGAGATGGATGGTAGCCAGCAACAGCTCATGGGTCTCGATGCTAAAAAGACACGCTATTAGGTTTTTGTTAGCAAGTCGAGCCATTAGGTTCCCCCACCCCCTATAGTCTCTCGTTATCCCGGAAGGTTCTTTGGAGTCACGGACACGGCTATCTTGTTTAGGTGATCACAACCATCTCTAGCTATTTCCCCCTACCTCCGTTGGGATGTCGATACGAGTTCGGGGTGATTTTATTGTTCCCACTTGTGTCTTCAACTGGGAGCGGTTATCACGCACTAGATGGCAATGTTTTTTTTCCCCTCTGGAACCATGGCGTTTACTTTGGTTTTAATTTATTCGATTTTAATTTATTCGGTGGCCGTTTCTTGTACTCCTCGCCCAGGTTCTACTCATCCAAGTGTTTCTATGACTTATTCACTCCTCAATCTCAGTGGCCAGCAGTTCGCGGTTGCGCATAGTTTATCGGTTTCCACTTATCCTCGTCTTTATCTCTTTTTCACTTCGTTGGCTCCATCTCTTTCTCCCCTTCCTATCACTTTTTCTTTTGTAAACTTATAAGTTGGGTATCTACCCTTGTGGGGTTTGGGAGTTTCTGCTGGCTGAATACTGGATGATGGGATCACCAGGGCAGAAGAGCCCCTTCCGAGCCTTAGAGGGAGAAAGGTGCAAACGGCCTGGCTCTTGGGATTTGGCTAGATTGTAAAAGCATGCTAATGCGTAACGTACCGCACTAGAGTAAGGCTGCGCCCAGTAATCATCAGATAATAACATTGTGGAATTGGCGTTCAGCAATGATACGAGTACAAGGACAGCCACCCTTGTTGTAAAAGTTGGTTATGATAGATAGCGCACTACCGGTATGCTCCGGTCCCAAGACTGAGTTGGGGCATATGGCGGGGGAGGATTGAAGGATTGGCACGGGGGATTTTAAGCGCGGGGAATGGGGAGTGAATACCTACTCAAGTAGATACGGGTACTCGTAGACTACCGTGGAGAATAACATTTCAAGTATTTCAGCTCGTAGCTCACTGCCAACACAAGCACGTCCCGCACTCTACAGGTATGATAAAGCAAAACGTCTTGCATGCTTTCGGCGAATTTCTCGGCAATGGGAAACCTAGTCAATCACTGAAGAGAGTCATAAAATTTCTGGGAGTCATCGGATAGTACCGGTACTCATTGCAAGTACGATACAGTATAAATTTATCACACTCATTCAAAACTCGAAACGGTTCGCTACTCTTGTGGACCCAGTAAATCTGGAACCCTCAAAAGAGTAACATGAAGCCACCCGCTGAGTCACTTCAAATGGGTGTAGCATTGGCAGTGGCAGTGGCTGTGCTGACTACGGAAGAAGGAGAACCACTCTGACGAGTTACCTTACAGCTTCCTTGTGCTCTTCTGCCCTCTTACCTCTTTGCTTACTTACTGCACCGAGACCCTTGCAGCCTCCTCTCTCTTCCACCTCTGCTTCCTCTCCCTCCTCTTCCTTTTTGTTGTCTGTCGGCTCTTCCAACTTACTTTGCTTGGTCTCTCCTGTCGAGATAAGAATCATTCTCCTGCTGTACTTCACCCTGAACTCTTCGGCGTGTTAACTCTTCGTCCTTTTCGACTCCTGGATACCCTCGCCTTGTTGTCTTTTGACCCTTCGTAACCTGTTCATTTGGCACGACTTATACCCCTCCTTTCGTCTCGCTTTATTCTACTTCTCTTTACCCTTTACCCTAATCCTCTGCTACTCTACCTCTTGTGTTTTCCGCAGCCATAAAACGGTGTCGTTGTTTGGTCTAATTTCCAAGCAACGAGCCTTAACACAACTGGTCACAACGGTTGCCTCTACCAAAAAACGAAAGGCTGCGGATCAGGTCGAGGCCGACACCAATCCGGCCCCCAAAAAATTAGCACCGGTCGCTCCATCTGTAACTTCAGCAACCACCACAATGTCGAGCGACGACGAATTTATGTCGGACCAGTTGTCAGATGATCAGTACGAGGATGATGATTATAGCTTGGGTGAGCTTGGTAGGTCATAGTGGACTCAACTCCTCTCCATTTTTCCTTGTAGTTGCTGACACGTTTTTTTGAAGAGGAAGACGATGACCGCTACTTAGATGACGTTAAGGACGAGAAGCCATCAAAAAAGGCCTATGAAGTCGATTACAAGGTTCATTCTGATGAGCAAATTCGTGCCGCCCAGCAGATACAGATTGAAGAGGTTTCTAGCATTCTGGGTCTCCCAGGGGAGCAGTGTGCGATATTACTGCGTTTTTTCAAGTGGCAAAAGGATCGACTGATTGAAAAGTATATGGATACTCCAGATGAGGTCCTGGAAGATGCTGGGTTAGGACCGGGATACGAAGCCCCAGCCGTGCTTGAGAAGTTGAAGGGATTTAGCTGCGAGATCTGTTGTGATGATGAGCGTGGTCTGGAAACATATGCCATGAAGTGTGGCCACCGTTACTGCGCAGATTGCTATCGGCAGTATATCGAGTCGAAAATAAAAGACGAAGGAGAAGCAAGCCGGATAGAGTGCCCTTCAGAGGGTTGTTCTAGAATTGTGGGATCGAAGACGATTGATCTTCTTGTCCCCTCTGAGATTAACCATAGGTAAGCTCTTGTGAATACGCGATTGCGTATGACAACCTCGCTTACACTCGGTTTTAGATACAGGGAACTACTTAACCGGACTTATGTCGACGACAAGCCGAATCTGCGATGGTGCCCTGCCCCGAACTGTGAATATGTAGTGGATTGCGCGATAAGGCCGACACAACTACACTCGATCGTTCCAACTGTCCAATGCAGTTGTAGCCACCAGTTTTGTTTCGGGTGTGGTTATGCGGACCATCTTCCCTGCCCGTGCCTCCTTGTCAAAAAATGGTTGAAAAAATGTGAGGATGATTCGGAGACTGCCAATTGGATATCTGCGAACACAAAGGAATGTCCGAAATGCGTTTCTACAATAGAGAAGAATGGAGGTTGCAATCATATGACTTGGTAAGATACCAGAATTTTCTTCAGTGTTCGAGTTTGCCTAATCCAGTTGCTTAGTCGAAAATGCAAGCATGAGTTTTGCTGGGTTTGCATGGGACCATGGCAGGAACATGGAACCAGTTGGTATAATTGTAACCGGTTTGAGGAGAAGAGTGGGTCTGAGGCTAGGGACCAACAAGCAAAATCTCGAGCGTCATTGGAACGATATCTTCACGTATGTCTTGGGTTTGGCGTATCCTATAAGGCATGGACTAACATCTCCGTTCTAGTATTACAACAGATACGATAATCATGACCACTCAGCGAAGTTGGATAAGGATCTTTATGTTAAGACCGAGAAAAAGATGACGACCCTACAATCATCCTCTGGCCTGTCGTGGATTGAAGTTCAATACCTCGAGGCCGCCTCCAAAGTTCTTCAACAGTGCCGCCAAACTCTCAAATGGACATATGCGTTTGCGTTTTATCTGGAGCGGAACAATCTTACATACATCTTTGAGGATAATCAAAAAGATTTAGAAATGGCAGTCGAGACATTGAGTTCACTTTTTGAGATGCCAACTGATCAACTTGCCAACGCCAAAAAAGAGATGATGGATAGAACCGCGTATGTTAATAGTCGGCGTATAATACTCTTGGAAGACACAGCGAAGGTGCTCGCGGAAGAGAAGTAAGTTCCCCCTTGCGCTAGTTCTCAAGTGACGGTTGATCCGCAGGCTGACAATGTTAATTTATAGTTGGAAATTTACGGTTGATTTGAAGCAGTAAGCCTGCGGTAGATATCAAACTCCTAGTTACTTGAGTAGAGCTTGTTTCTTATTCTGCTTTCTGTTGTATTTCGGTCTGGTGGGGTTTATCAGGGGTTGGCAGGTGGACATTTCCTTACCGCAATAGGCTCGTCAAGCAATCATATGTGGAAAGTAACATCTTTTAATCTTCTCGCTTGGTATTCCTTCTCTTGGACCGGTATTGTGTTTTAATCCTCTAGCCGAGCGAGGATATGGGTCCTACTTGGTACGGTAAAGCCCATATTTTGAATTTGTTTGATGGTGGAATCTTTTCATTTCTTCTGATTGAGCATGGAAATGGGATCTACATTGGGGCACAGGAATGGAACTGGTGAACATGGAAGGCGAAGGAGGGATTATTATACACTTTTTGCTTTTGATTTTTTGCGCCCTCGGTTTTGTGGTTTGTTGCCCTTCATTGGTTCCTTTCACTTTTCTTTTTCTCACTCCCTTTCTCATTCCCAATCCTTTTCCCTCTGCGGTCACCTTTCGCATATTTATCTCGCGCCGTTGATCAAGCTATGTGCTGTCGCTTTCTTTTCCTCTCTTTTTTTTTCTTCTTTCCATTTCCGTTCTTTCCCTTCTCGTTTTCGACGGGTCTAGGTCGCTCATGGTGTGGTAGAGTTTCTTCCAATAGGGAGAAAAAGTTGAGATGTTTTGCTTAGATTGCAGAGTGAAGTGGCCAGAGTTGAAACTCGCTAAAGTCACCCGCATGCGGGTAATTAGGCTACGATATCCTGATGTTTTTGTTTATGATACCGTAGAGAGCTGTCTCAAATCTGTACTTATTAGTAATCCGCGGAATGTTTGGGCTCTGTGCTCAACCAGAGCGTTCTACTTTTCTTAGAATTCCTCTCAATGGGACGGCGTACTATACCACGATGTAGGGTGGTTTGGAGTGTTGTAGAGATATGAGTAGGATAGCATGTGGAATGGTGTACCGTACTCGTACATAGCACAAGGATTTTGAGGTCAATCTCTTGTGGCATAATTAAATTCCGCAAGTTTCATTGCCAGTTCAACTTCCGTGCCATGGTTGTTAATGAGGTATGATACGAGTAGTTTTACTCCGATTGAATCGTGACCAAAATAAACTTATACAGACCACCGTACCTATGATAGCAGCCTGCCCTCAAATCATAGTACCTAACCACCCCAACTATGGAACCTTGTTGCTTGTTCATGCCCTATGTTCCACGTTCGCTCGTCCGCTTGCTCCCAAGGCTCTGTCCTGGTTCAAAAGCTTCACTTTCGCCCCCTCCTCGCTGCTTATCACACGACCCACCACGCCCCTCGCCTCACCATCTCAACTCCCTTCCCGCCCTACACTTGTTGCCACAAGAATGTACCCCTCCAACAGTCGCCCAGGAGGCTATGGCACCAATGGAACCTACGAGATCACACCCATGAAGCCCAGCGAGCATTCTCCAACTTGGCTAGGGAAATGGAGCGTCCAAGACAGACCATTACCCGAAAAAACAGCTATCAAAGCCATCCATGTCTACGACTTCGATAACACGCGTAAATAATACGTCCTTCCATAAACTAAAACGATGGTTGCTGACTGGTGTTCGACTCGCGTCACAGTTTTCAAGTCACCGCTTCCTAATGCGAAGATCTGGCACGCTAGTACACTTGGGCAGCTGATGAATCGGGATATCTTTAAAAACGGAGGTTTGATTATCCCGACAAATCCCAGATTTTTTTTCTTCTTGCATGGTGTTGATCGGATTATGCAGGTTGGTGGCATGATTCGCGAATCCTTGCAGCTACTGGTGAAGGCATCGAGGTCGAGGAACCACGGAGTTGGGAAGGCTGGTGGAATGAACGGGTCGTGACTTTAGTCGAGCTCTCCATGCAACAAAAGGATGCGCTCACGATTCTTCTCACTGGGCGTTCCGTGGCGGAGTTTGTGCCCCTTATCAAGCGGATGGTTGCCAGCAAAAAACTCAATTTCGACATAATCGCGCTGAAGCCTGAGAGAGGGCCTGGTGGAGAGAACATCAAGAATACCATGCATTTCAAGTGCATGTTCTTGAATGATCTCCTCAACACCTATATCCATACCGATGAGGTCAAGGTTTATGAGGACCGCGAAAGACACGTGAGGGCGTTTGAATCATTTCTTAAGGATTACATTCGAATCAATTGTCACAATAATAATCCAAGAATTGGTCCGACAGCGGATGTTATTCATATCGCTGAGGAATCTGTAAGTCACCCCCTCACAGACACCGGCGACATACCCTAATTTCGTTTTCGCAAATGTAGACGCTTCTTGACCCAGTCACTGAGGTTAGGGAAGCTCTGAAGATGGTTGAGGATCATAACCATGTTGCCCCAGGGGGCACTGGGCGCTTGGTCATCAACAAGACGGTCAGTTACACCGGTAAGACTACACTGAAGATCTGCCCATTAAGTGGTTCCTCGGGTAACCAACACTTGGGCTCGCAGGTTACCTTTTAGCACCCGCAACGACCTCTCGTTTACTCAACACCCTGAATATCCCGGGACTTGCGCGGAATCATAAGGACATAAGACTTAATGGTACTGGGATCCTGATATCTCCTCGCGCCGCCGATAACCGTGTCTTGACCAATGCTGGCCCCTTGGGAACGACAGTTGACTTTTTGGTGACTGGATGGGGTCACTTTGAGAATAAAGTTTGGGCAGCATTGGCACAGCCCGTGGATCCAAACTACAAGGTTTATAGTGGTGAGTATACGCCGCACCTTTGTCGGGATTGTATCTGACTTATTCAAAGTATTGGATAGTCATCGCCCGGTAATTATACTTGCGATCCGTCGCGACGGGAAACCTAGTGATGCTCAGAAAATCACAACCTGGCAGCAGGTTCCGACTGGTAACTTTGTCGTTAGAACGATGATCGCTGAGAAAGCCTATCTTCGCGTCGAAGGCGAGAGCTACCAGTCAGAGGGTAAGTTAGGCAGTTCATATTTATTGAGCGAAGTTCCAGCGTGTTTCACCCACCCGGCTACTCACTAACACCCGGCAGAAAAGCCTTCGCTCCACCCATCCCGTCGTGGAAATTTTCAAGGTCGCTACGTTTCCTATGACCGGTTCAACCCAAACCGTGGCCGCGGTGGCAGAGGTCGCGGGCGCAGTCACGGTCCGGGCATTGCTGGGAGAAGAGGAGCCAACGCAGAGAACAGACAGGAAGTCCATGCGGTAGACAGGAATGGCGGATATCATGCTTACGAACGCCACCAGCAAGGCACTAGGCCCGTAGAACCCCAGGATATGCAGTTCATGAGCGAGATGTATGAATAGTGGTGCGTTTGTTTGTGTTTTAGTCTTTCAACAGGCTTGGTGGGGAGGTTGGTCACGGTTGGCTGGAGTTCTGTGCTGTAATGTACTCCAGTTTACACCTTGGATTTGCGGCGTTTGCGACTAGCTGGTACCGCTTGATGCTGTTGGTTTATCCATTGACAATGAGCTGTATGGTAAAACGATGTCAAGTGAAATAAAAGCAGACGTGTGGGTATGGCGGCAGGGAGTTACCGGATAGAACAACATTTCCGATATCCTTGGGGAATTTCATTGTCCTTGGACATTCCTTTGAAGGCCTTTAATAGGTTAAAATTTTATGGTTAGGAGTGTATCTGAGTTGATGTTGCAGCAATGATCGATGGGTTGGGAATGGTGATGGGTATTATGGAACGGATGGCTGGTCTAGGATGCCCCAAAGAGATGGCTGGTTAATGGAGGTTTGGTTGGAACTGATACCGGGGTGGAATGTATCCACCGGGGTCATAACCACGCGACCGGGGCCAGGTAGCTGGCGTTGCAACATATGTACCTAAACACTAGATCATATAAGTAATTCTGCACCTTTACGATCAGTGATAGTGCTGGTAAAGAGATGAAATTAATACGGCGTATACCATCCATCTGCCTCAATCACAGCTTTAATCCTCCCAGGCATACTCCTAGCCAAACTATCAAAGAAATCAGAGTCCAATAGCTCCCAACAATGCTCAACCGCGTCTGATATCTGCATCCTCAATGCCCACCCCTAATTCTTAGAATCAAGAATATTAGGATACATTTTTTCAAAAAGAGACTTTACTCTTGCCCAAGCACATTCTATTGGATTCAGATCAGGAGAATATGATGGCCATTTGACCAGCTTAATTCTCCTACCTGAAATCCCGCAATGCTCTACTTGCATCTACGAATTGTTCACAACTGTACCATGATGAATTCCAGCACTATTCTGAACAAAATAAATAGTAGAGCCATAAGGAAATTGCCAAATAATATCTGGCAACCATCTCCTAAGTATTCTGAAATACTTAAGAAATGATGCACCTTTTCTTTTAGACCCAGAGTCACCATGCAGCCATACTAGAGGTCCAATTTTGGGCCCAGAAAATAGACTCCACATATGAATACTTACCTTTTCCTTCCTAGTCTTTGCTCTCTTATGAATACGACTAGGCATATACTTGCTTTGCTCTACTTTCCATCGTGCAGGTGTCTTTCTTCCTGGATAGAAAACCCAAGTTTGACTCCTTGAAGCTCCTGCCATCCTTCCTACATACATCTCATCACTCCAAACCCAACTGAGCCAATCTTCCTCTCTCAGGTGCTCATGCTTTTTTGCCCACTCTAGATGTTGAGCAGAATCTACTCCTTCCAATTCAGAATGAGAGGCTACGATCTACTTGTGTAAATCCAGTTCCCGAAATCGCCGTTTAAGTGTTAATTCAGAGCGGGGATTGTTTGGGATAATATTTTCATTAATATTAGCAAGGGGGATGTGGGGCTTTTTTGTTACAGCATCTCGGATGTAATTTATCTCAGGCTATATTAACAAATTTATTTATTGAGCAGATATACTACTTACAGTATTATCCTCTTCCTGTGTGGTTTTGTGCTTTACTCCTCCTGGCTTGGATGGGGAGGATGGGCCCAGGGGTTGTGGGCAGTCTGGATGGGTATATTTTAAAACAGAGGCCTTGGAAGCTCTTGTCTCTTGGTGGATTTTGTTGATTGACATGCTAGCATTGTGAAGGCCAGCAAGATAGCCCTGCTCCTACAGCAAATACGTACTTGTACAGTTTCTTCCGGCGTTGCAAGATTCACGAGTGGCGCGAGTGGCGCTGCCACTTACTGTCTTGGCGGCCAGGACTAGTTAGTTATTGGCACATGTACTCCACCTTCTCTTCACTCAACACTATCATCGTCAAATACAAACAACACAAACAAGACCACTTATCCGGAGCAACAATACATTTCATCCCCCCTTGCTTAGTGGATATGAAGGTAATTAAAAGGAAGAAGAAAAAAATAAAAGGAAAAAAAAGTAAGTCCAAATTAATACCTTACAAAAAGGCCAACAAGCTAATAAAATCTAATTGAGCATTGTCTGATTCAGACTATCATGTTCAGCTACATGCCCAATACTCTCATCACTGTTCATGGACCCATCAGCCTTCTCATCATTCTCACCCAAATCACTATCGTCAGTTACCTCTAATCCTTCTTAAACAAACTCTGCTAACTTATTATCTAACAAGGCAATCTTATCCGCTACTCCATTAACCTTGACTTCAACTTCCTCAATTTTCTGGTGCAAGACTTCATGGCTGAGTCTGATTCGAGATCGAGGATTCTGTTCTTTCTCCGCCATGTTTCATTTCAGTTCCTGAAGTTGGTCCCGTAGGTTCTCTTTTTGCTTTAAATGTCTTACTCTCTTTTGTTGTATCTTTTGATACTCTTCACTAACAATATCTTTCCTCGAACGTCGCAGATCATCTGCTGTTGCAAAGTCTTGTCCACAGGTGTAAAATTTCTTCTGTGCACATCGCTGGTCCCGAGCTTTTAGTTTTTGTTCTTTAGCTTTTTGTTGAAGTCGTGCCTCCTCTGTCAGATAAATCTTTACATAGACAAACTGGGCAGAATGAATCAATTTGGTAAGCTTGGACTTATAGATTTGAATATTGGATGGACTAAAAGAGGGATTGCTAGCTAATTGGAATTGGTCATCACTTAATTGTTTCAGTGAGTTTGAAGTTGTTGGTGTTGCTGGAATCCCAGGTGATGGTACACGTAATGGTGGGATTTGAGATTGTTGCGCACGGGTTTGTAGAAGGACACTTGAGTTGTTAGTTGATAATAGGATAGCTTGAGATTCTACAATATGAATTGGTAGGGATTGGGACGAGATGGACTGCACAGGGAAGGGACTCTAATACGTTGGCTTCTTCAATTTTGGATTAGGCGGATCGTTGTAAATAATTTTAGGATTGGTATACTTTACTGGGTCATATGCTGGAACCTTTTGAAGTGCTGTATATCTGTCGAGTGAGTTGATGCCAGTTGTTGCAAAAGCTAACATAACATTTTTTAGAGTAAAGGCTTTTTCTCATGCCTGTGACAGAAACTTGCAAATGTTGACTTTTGATACTCTATAGTGTCCATAACAAAATTCATTTTCTAGAACCTGAGCATAATAGTTCTTGTCTGGTCTGAAGATTCCAACATCTAGTGGTTTAAGAAGATTTGTACTATGTGGAGGTAGACAAAATGCAATAATACGAGTATCAATGTACTACTGTAGGAATTCATGTGATATGTGAGATTTATGAGCATCAAATATAATCATCCCATACTGGCCATTTGCTTTCTTTGCTGATAGGCTTTCTGAACTAAAGTGATGCTTTAGGTAGTCCAATCCCATCTCATTATCTGTCTATCTATTTAGAGAATGGCTGCAAAGAACATCTCCTGGAAAAGGTAGAGTTGGATCAAACCATCTAACTCTGAATTCCTCTGCCTTGTAGATAATCATGGATCAAGATTTCCTCCATTGGCACATATGGCTTCAATTACTGTTACCATTTCTCTGTTTCCATCTATTATACATATTAGCAGAGTGAAAATATTATTGTATATTTGTTGATATACCAAAAGATCTTAATGCTCTATTAAGCTGTAATTCTCTAACATCAACTACAACTTTTTCTGAATGGGATCCACCCATAAGAAATCCAATTTCATCGAAGTTGTATAGATTTTCAGGATGCATATTATGGTGGTTTATAAGTTTCATTAACATAATTAATTGTATTAGTTTTAAGTCATAAATAAATATTATAAATAAAATCAATATAACTTATACAATCAAAGTACATATTAAGTATAATTAGATTATTTGCCTGAACAGCACGGGAATTCTGGATCTGCTTACTGAATGCACTCGCTAACTGGTCATGGCATTTAATAAAATCATAAACCCAATACATTCTAATGATTCCTTCGGGCTCTCTTAATCATAGCAAACCTTGTGCCATATCCCTTACAACTCCATGTCGCACAGGCTGAAGCCATGAGCTCAACAAGCTACATCTATCCAGAATAGCTTTCTCCTCACCTACTGTTAACTTAGACTTTTTTTCTATACACTCTTTCCTACTTCCAAGGCCTCTGATTGCATGGCACAAGGTCAAATATGCAATACCACAGGCTTCAGCAATCATCTTCCGATTCAGAGCAAGGCCATTATGTAGTTCTCTCTCAATCCAGGTTATCACCATATGTTTTTTTTCATCAAGACTAAAGATTTCTGGAAGCCGCAGTGGTTTTGAAAGAACTGACATTTTATATACCAGTAAAAAGCAGGATAGGGGATATGGTAGAATGGGAATTCAAAATACTTCCCTCAAAAGTATGGTCACTGCAATCTACTCTACTATACCACTATTCTATGGTGCTTGGATCCTACACCATCGTTTGTCATACTTAAACTTTTGTCTTGAGGTCATCTGTTCTGTTATAGGTTTAGGGTGGTCTTGGAATTACTCCCACATTTCTGCAGCCACTCTCGCGACTCCGGAATCTCGCAACACCTGAAGAGACCGTATCCCTTCGTGCGTATGCCGAAATTCACGGAAAATTAGCGTACCGTAGCGCAAAGAGTGACACATGATTTAACCATTCTTGCAACGCACTAGAAAATACGCGATGCCATAAAAGAAGGACCTAATAGAGAGAATAATCCAAAAAGAAAAAAAGAATTAAACGCCACAAGCACCTGTCATGAACCTGTGAACTTTGGATCATGATACAATCGCATGCAAAAGCTTTTACATAACGGAACTTGGCATAGAGAACACTGGAAACCAGTGTGGTGTACACGGCTACCGGGGCCTGGAGAGCTATTAAATACTGATCTAAACTGGGGGGTTTTAGACAGGAAGCGACAAAAAAGACAAAGGCTTTTACTTCGGGCAGCTGTTTCCAAGGTATGAGTTCCAGGTAGCAGCCGTCATTTATCAAGCTCAAAGTTTTTAGTTATATAGGTCCCAGAACCTCTTTTCTTAGAACTTTGACAGGGTATTAGTCCGGGGGAAAATCGTTGAGTACCTGAATGTGACGTTGCTGAGGGATTAATATGAAGGGCCTGGATGGAAGAAGGATTTGTACAGCAATACCCCTCTAAGACAAGGTTCCAGGCCAGCCTTGTCTGAAAAAAGCCATGGTCAGTCCATACTGTAGCTGGAGTGTTGCTAGTAGAACTATATGTTCTATTAGTAGAAGTTGTTTTGATGTTGGGAAATGAGTGGAGGTATTTAATGCTAACCTAGAGGCCAGAGCATGCTGTGAATGCAGGTTTGAGGATAGGTGAGAGGGGAGAGCTGGGGTTGCTGTAGGGGAAAGCAGTGGTGGAGTATGTAAATAGGTTTGTGAGAAAAGAAAAGAATTGATAACCATGGTATCGAGTAACTAGAAGAAGAGTGAAAGCCAGTTACAGCATACAGGAAACTGTGTATAGTAGTAACTTCTTCTCTGATCTGCTCTATCCACTCCCCCCATATAGTCATTG